CTGGGCTCCCCCCGCCACCCCTTACCAGGTGCCGCCCCAAGCATGTGCTTGGGTGCCGGGTGCCTGGAGCCGGCCCTGATACTGACCCATGGAGAGCAGGGAGCTACTTCACAAGTGGAGAACCAGTGCTGACAGGGCCAATTCAATCAGGGTGGATGTAGTCCACTCCCAGTAATAGATGAGGAGGTGTCAATTCCAGGAGAGGAAAAGCTGCTTCTGTAATGAGCCAGCCACTCCCAGTCCCTAGTCAAGCCCAGATTAATGGTGTTGAATTTGCAAATGAATTTTAGTTCTGCTGTTTCTCTTTGAAGTCTGTTTCTGAAGTTCTTTTGTTCAAGGATAGTGACTTTTAAATCTGTCATAGAATGACCAGGGAGATTGAAGCATTAAAGCCAGTAAGTGAACACTTCAATCTCCCTGGTCATTCTATTACTAGAAGTTAGCTAATGTAACGCCAATATTTAAAAAGGGCTCTAGAGGTGATCCCGGCAATTACAGACCGGTAAGTCTAATGTCAGTACCGGGCAAATTAGTCGAAACAATAGTTAAGAATAAAATTGTCAGACACATAGAAAAACATAAACTGTTCAGCAATAGTCAACATGGTTTCTGTAAGGGGAAATCGTGTCTTACTAATCTATTAGAGTTCTTTGAAGGGGTCAACAAACATGTGGACAAGGGGGAGCCAGTGTACTTAGATTTCCAGAAAACCTTTGACAAGGTCCCTCACCAAAGGCTCTTAGGTAAATTAAGTTGTCATGGGATAAAAGGGAAGGTCCTTTCATGGACTGAGAACTGGTTAGAAGACAGGGAACAAAGGGTAGGAATTAATGGTAAATTCTCAGAATGGAGAGGGGTAACTAGTGGTGTTCCCCAAGGGTCAGTCCTCGGACCGATCCTATTCAACTTATTTATAAATGATCTGGAGAAAAGGGTAAACAGTGAGGTGGCAAAATTTGCAGATGATACTAAATTGCTCAAGACAGTTAAGACCAAAGCAGACTGTGACAAACTTCAAAAAGATCTCACAAAACTAAGTGATTGGGCAACAAAACGGCAAATGAAATTTAATGTGGATAAATGTAAAGTAATGGACATTGGAAAAAATAACCCCAACTATACATACAATATGATGGGGGCTAATTTAGCTACAACGAGTCAGGAAATGATCTTGGAGTCATCGTGGATAGTTCTCTGAAGATGTCCACGCAGTGTGCAGAGGCGGTCAAAAAAGCAAACAGGATGTTAGGGATCATTAAAAAGGGGATAGAGAATAAGACTGAGAATATATTATTGCCCTTATATAAATCGATGGTACGCCCTCATCTCGAATACTGCGTACAGATGTGGTCTCCTCATCTCAAAAAAGATATATTGGCACTAGAAAAGGTTCAGAAAAGGGCAACTAAAATGATTAGGGGTTTGGAATGGGTCCCATATGAGGAGAGATTAAAGAGGCTAGGACTCTTCAGCTTGGAAAAGAGGAGACTAAGGGGGGATATGATAGAGGTATATAAAATCATGAGTGATGTGGAGAAAGCGGATAAGGAAAAGTTATTTACTTATTCCCATAATAGAAGAACTAGGGGTCACCAAATGAAATTAATGGGTAGCAGGTTTAAAACAAATACAAGGAAGTTCTTCACGCAGCGCACAGTCAACTTGTGGAACTCCTTACCTGAGGAGGTTGTGAAGGCTAGGACTATAATAGCGTTTAAAAGAGAACTGGATAAATTCGTGGTGGTTAAGTCCATTAATGGCTATTAGCCAGGACGGGTAAGGAATGGTGTCCCTAGCCTCTGTTTGTCAGAGAATGGAGATGGATGGCAGGAGAGAGATCACTTGATCATTGCCTGTTAGGTCCACTCCCTCTGGGGTACCTGACATTGGCCACTGTCGGTAGACAGGATACTGAGCTAGATGGACCTTTGGTCTGACCCGGTACGGCCGTTCTTATGTTCTTATGTTCTTATGCCTCCTCCCACCCACCTCCTGTTTGACCACTGCTTGCTAAGCTCCTGCACACTTGAAGAAGAAATGGAGGTTACCTACCTGTAACTGGAGGTTCTTTGAGATGTGTGGTCCCATCTGTATCCCACACCCATCTGGAGTACTGTGTCCAGTTTTGGGCCCCACACTACAAGAAGGATGTGGAAAAATTGGAAAGAGTCCAGCGGAGGGCAACAAAAATGATTAGGGGGCTGGAGCACATGACTTATGAGGAGAGGCTGAGGGAACTGGGATTGTTTAGTCTGCAGAAGAGAAGCGTGAGGGGGGATTTGATAGCTGCTTTCAATTACCTGAAGGGGGGTTCCAAAGAGGATGGATCTAGACTGTTCTCAGTGGTGGCAGATGACAGAACAAGGAGTAATGGTCTCAAGTTGCAGTGGGGGAGGTTTAGGTTGGATATTAGGAAACACTATTTCACTAGGAGGGTGGTGAAGCACTGGAATGGTTCCCTAGGGAGGTGATGGAATCTCCTTCCTTGGAGGTTTTTAAGGCCCGGCTTGACAAAGCCCTGGCTGGGATGATTTAGTTGGGGATTGGTGCTACTTTGAGCAGGGGGTTGGACTAGATGACCTCCTGAGGTCCCTTCCAACCCTGATATTCTATGATTCTCCATCCCCTCTACTGCCAATTATCTGGATTTGCTGTAAGAGAAGGAACTGGAGAGGCACCAGGCTGCATGGCCATTTATACCCTCAGTTTGGTTCATGTGCGGATCAACGGACACGGCTTGCTAAGAAAATTCTGGCTTCAGGCCCAGGTGTGCATGTGTACCCCACGCGTGGAATACAGACTGGGGCCGCACATCTCGAAGAACCTCCGGGTACAGATAAGCAACCTCCAGTTGTTTGCTAAGGTGCTGGCTTCTGAGTATGTATGAACCCTCTAGGCTCCACACTGGGTGCCAGAAATGTGTGAATTTCGATGAAATATATGGGCTAAAAGTGTTAATGTAACCCAGCCACATCACACAGTGTTTAAACCAGGTTGGCGTTTGGTACACGCAGAACTCAGCCTACTTAGCGCCATGGCAAACACCCCATTAAACGTCCGTTTAGCCGGTTATTAAAGATACAGAAAAGAAGAGAAACCAGCGAAAGCTGGTGATAACTGTGCTTCTGGGGAAAGGAGACGACTTTAGTTGAGACAGGCTGGAGCTGCTGCTGCTGTTAGTGTCCAAGCCCGTGTCATCCCAGCCCGTCCCCTCATTGTCCTGTCCAGCAGCAAGGTCTAGCGTCCAACGCACCAGTCTGGATCCCCTGATTACTGGTTCCGTGCTGTTCTCCTTGCCCCGGCCCGGGCTTAGCACAGTTCTTGAGTTCCATCATGAGGCCTGACCCGCCTTTGCCTCTCCGCGTTTGTTGTTGTCGGTTACGGTCACGTCCTACGGCCGCGCACTTGCTTTCCATAGCGGAGCTCACAAGTTGGGTACTTTTGTCGCCCAGTTACCCCAACAGACGGGCGGGCCTGCTGTGAGGTGCCCAGCACCAGCCTGTTGCCAGCACAGGGTGCCCGAGGACAGCAACAGCGAGGTTCGTGGCCCGGTGTGCTTCGCGTCAATAAACACACCAGGGGTGGAGGAGCAAACAAAGTTTATTTGAGATCTCAAAGCGGTGCAAGGAGACTGGCACGTCTCAAATCAAGCACACTAACAAACAGCTTTTCTTCTTTTATACATTTTGCAGTCAAGCCTCATCTCCCCCCTTCCCCCACTACCCCTCCCTTCCTCCCCCCATTCCTCTCCCTCTACCCCTCCCGTTCCTGGTAACAATTACTAGGCAAATAGCAATTACATTTAAGCAGTTAAGTCATTCTTGGCAGCTATAAGCCTAGCTTGTTAGTAACTTCTTTAAACCATTATCTTGTCCTTTTTCCCTTCAGCCAGAAACATGCAGCCTCATTATTACCGCTTGGTACTGGTAAGGGGGGGGGGGGGGTTACCACTGATAGCAGGTTGCTTACACATTCCACTTGCACCTTGTTAGGCCCAAAAACTGAAAAACATGTTTATCTCGGCTTCTGCTTGTTATCCCAGTAAATATGCTTATCTCAGCTTTCACTGTTGTTTCCCATGCATGAAGCTGCATGTATACAGGATGTATAGAAGATATATGGCAAAGGGGAGGGGGTTGGACGGACCCTGGGAAAGGAATGTGAAGGACGGGAAGCTAAACAGATGTATCCTGATTACTACTAGAACTGAATTTAAACAATGCATAGGTTAGCAGAATTTAGACACGCTAAGTTGTTTGTCTCTCTGTATAAAAAGGGCCCAGTTGTGCTTGTAAGGTGTGTCTCTTTCTCAGGCACTAGCCGAGTAGAGCACCCTCTCAGCTGACTGACTAATAAAGGGTCTGGTATTTGTCCTCTTGTCTCTCCGTGCCTCCTTGGGGTAATTGGGCAGCTCCAGGGGGGAAACGAGCCCATTTGGCTAACAACCTGGCTTTTGAGGTCGATTAGAGTTTAAACATGGAAGGAGTTTGGTTCATATAGGCCTAGTGCAGGAAGGCTTCATTGACACTTAGTGACCTTCCACCCTCCCGAGTTACCTAGGGTGATGGTGATGCCTGGTGACGTCAACAAGCCCAATACCCCATTGCTAACTGGGCACGTGGCACGGCTGGACCCTTGCCACGGTGACCTCTACACGTCGTCTTGCCGAAGCTGCCAGGTCTCCCTGGGTGGCTGGGAGAGCTTTGTTCATGACCCAGCCCGCGGCAGATCCCACGCCGAGGTTATTCCCGGTCTGACAGTGGCTCTGAAGTACCCCATCAGGGAGCGGGGCCCACTGGGCCAGGCACGCCACCAGAGCACTCAGCCTGCAGGCCACAGCCCGGCCGGGGCTGGGACAGACACGTGGGAGGTGGTACCAGTGAACAGACAAGGCTTAGCAGAAAGCAGCTGTCTCCGCTCAGCCTGGGGCTGTGGCGGGCAGGGAGCACGAATCCGAATGGCACCCACCCCCGAGTGCCCAGCCAGGGCCTGCGGTGCCAGTCCCCTCTTCTCTTCCAGGTTTGCCGTTCTCCATCACCTCCGAGGGGCTGGAGCGGACGTTCGCCACCAACTACTTGGGCCCTTTTCTTCTGACCAATTTGCTTCTGGGTAAGGGCTGCCCCAGGAACTGGGCACTCGCTCGGCTGGGGGAGGGCTACCCTGCTGCCCCCGGCATTCCCCTGGGGCATGGACCCAGGCCTTGCGCTGGCTGTGCCGGGGCTGCTAGCCGACTCCCCGTCTGCTGCCCAAGGGTCTCTCTGAGCTGGGGCTTCTCCCGGCCACGTGGGGCCCTCCCCCACCACGCCACCCCCTGACATGAGCCTGTTGGGTTTGCCCCTCCCCCGCACAGACACCATGAAGGGCTCCGCTCCCGCCCGCATCGTGAACGTCTCGTCCTTCAGACATGTCCGGGGCACGGCCAACGTGAAGCACCTGTCCGGGGAGGAGAGGCCCAAGAACTTTGACCAGTCCTACAATAGCACCAAGCTGATGAACATCCTGTTCACCAACGAGCTGGCCAGGAGGCTGCAGGGCACAGGTCAGTGTGATCCCCCCCCCGGGGCCAGCAGAGGCCAGCACCCCGTGGTCCCTCCTAAACCCCCCCCCAGCTGCGTTCGCTCCTCACGTCCCCCTGGATTTATGCAGCACCTTGGCAGAAAGGGAAGCGATGGCCTTGGCACTGGGATCCGGAGGCACCGTCCCAGCAGACAGGCCTCCCGGGGGTTCCCCCCCAGCCCTGAATTCCCTGCACTGTGGTCAGGACTGTGGAGGGTCCCGAGCCTAATCCCTGCCAGCTAAGAGGGGCCAGGCCTGGCTGCCCTGTCCTGCAAACACCCACTGGCCCAGTTACCGCTGCTAGGGGTGCTCTGCCCTGGCTCCCGTTCCGCTGGGCAGCCGCGCTCCCTCGACTCGCCCCAGTCGTGGGACCGGGGGCTGCGGGGGGGAGTCTCTGTTTGCAACATTTCCAAATTACTCACCAACGCTGTCAGGGGTGTGACTCCCCGAGGCACAGAACAGATGCTGCTAGGCGCCACTGCCTCCTCGTCTTGGGGGGGCTGTGAGCTGTGCAGGAGTGGGGGGCGGGGGGTCTCCTCGCAGGAGAGCTTGTCTGCTCCCCGGGCTGGCTGTGCCCCGGGCTGCTCGTTCCATGGCGAGCTCTTCTAGCCTTTCCGCTGCTTCCGGCGCTAGAGAGGACACAGCACCGGGGACATTCTCTAGGGCTTGGTGAGAAGCTGCCAGGATTCCGGCATGTACCCCAGGCAGTGGGGTGGGGTTTGACTTCCCAACAAGTTCCATGTGGCCCCACTGGCGAGGGTTTGGGGCCAGGCTGGGCTAACCAGGCAGCAGGAATTACCGGCTTTTCTTTCTGTAACTCGGGTTGTTCTCATCGTCCATGTACATTTCCAACCCTCTCGATGCCACAGATTTTCCAGGTATTTTGGTGCCTAACGCCCATTGAAATCAATCTCTGGGTTTCAGGTTTTTTCTGTACCCGTGGGGATAACAGTGTTGCCCTTTGTGACCTGAGAAGCTAGCCAAAAGTTGGGGCTCTTGTTCGTTGTTCCAGGTCAGAGGATGAATTGGTGAGAGTCAGGGATTTCTTTGGTGCAGTCTTGTTTATTTACAAAAGGTGTACGAAGTCTTGTTCCCCTGAACATAGCAATCAAACAGCACGAGCCAGTGTCTGCTCACTGCTCCAAGCCTGCCTAGCCACCAACGCTCTGCGCCCAAAGAGCTGTCTCTCTTAGCTCTCGCTCATGGCCACATTACTAGTTGTCTGTTACTGTCTACTGGGCTTTCTCTTGCTGCTTCAACATGCCCTCCCTCTCTCTCACCCCTCACCCCTATCCCCCCCACACCCTTCCACCAATCCTCTTGGGCCACATGTTTTAGCTTCTACACACCATTTCCATGTGCCTGTGTTTTGGGGGGCTACTGCTATTGTTTCAGCGACCTCCTTACAATGATTTCTTTACATCTATCCTCCACGGAAGGTGGTGACCAGGCCTGACCCATAACAAGGTTTAACTGAACCAGTCGCTGTAACACTGCCTGCTGCATGCAGGGCCTGTGAGGATCAAGGCACTGAAGGTTCAGGTTGTGAGGCTTCAGATACTACAGTGATAGCACCTGAGATGGACAGAAATGAGAACAGACCCTGCGTGATCTTGCCCCTCCTGCAGCTCTCCTGGCAAATGACGGGGTGTTTTGTTCTGAGAGGAGCCGAATATCTGGGGAAAGGATAACGAATGGGGTAGAGCAAATGGGACACTTGTATTGACCCTCTCACAACACAAGAACATGGCAACAGTCAATGAAACTGACAGGCAGAGCATTTAAAACTGATCAAAGGCAATACCGTTCACTGTGTGTAATTAGCCCGTGGAACCCACTGCCGCCATTCTCTTTAAAAGAGAACTGGATAAATTCATGGTGGTTAAGTCCATTAATGGCTATTAGCCAGGATGGGTAAGGAATGGTGTCCCTAGCCTCTGTTTGTCAGAGGATGGAGATGGATGGCAGGAGAGAGATCACTTGATCATTGCCTGTTAGGTTCATTCCCTCTGGGGCACCTGGCATTGGTTACTGGGCTAGATGGACCTTTGGTCTGACCCGGTTCGGCTGTTCTTATGTTCTTATATGTGGTTGAGACCAAGGGTTTAACAGGGGTCAGTGAAGGGTCACCTGGATAATGAGAACAATCAGAGTTACAGAAATAAAGGCTGGGAACTTTTCTGTCTCTAACTATCAGGGGTCAGGAATTTCCCCCTGGGGCAGGTTATCCCATCACTGCCTCCCACCTGGGTTCTTGCTCCTCGCTTTGGCGCAGCTGGCCCTGGCCACTGTCAGCACCAGGAGACCGAGTTGGATGGAGTGCAGACTTTGGCAAGTCACCTGTCTGTAGCCCATTGTCCTGGGCTAACACCCCCCTTCTTCCCCCCCGTCCATCCACCGGGTCTAGAAACGGGCACTCGGCTGGACTCTCTCTCCTACAGACTCTGCGGGAACTTGGCATGGCCAAGCCCTGTGCTCCTCCAGCTCGTCCCATGTTACTGGTGTGGCAGCATGGCCACAATGGCTCTACGGATTCGCAGTTTCTGATCCCCAGGCATTGTGCCCTGACTGGCATCTCTGCCCTCCCAGGCCTCTTTCAGCGCTGCTGTGTTCTCAGTATCTCACAGTGCCTGATTCTCCCCTCGTTTAGGTGGCTTTGACCTGGGGCAGCTCCGCTGATCCACACCAATGTTAGTGAGAGGGGAACCGGGTTCATCTCCTCTTACAGCTTCTTGGGCATGCCCGGAGCAGGTGAGAAATGCCCCATGTGCTCCCAGCTCCTTGGAGTTCCTTGCCTGGCTGCTGTCTCCAGCTGGGATCTGCTTCTGCCGCACTGCCTTGGGCCTTTCCGTTGAGTCATTCAGCATGGTGACTCCTTCCCGGGAGACAGCTGTCCCTGAGAACAGGCTGGGCATAATCTTTGGGTCTCGTTTATTTCATCCTGTCCTTACATCAGCCTTGCTTTCATCTGCAGACGTCTCCATCTGGGTTGTGCCGACGCACGGTGCGGCCTCAAGGCCTGGCTCCTGGCCCTGGGGGGAGCTGTGATTAGCCGACGCTGTTCACTTGATTGCATGTTAGATGGCAGAAAGTCTGTCTGATCATCCGTTCTCAGGGGTCTCCATCACTCCAGGGCTTTCGCTAGCCCCAGCTCTCTCGCCCTGCTGGTTAGGGCCCTTCCTGCCCCACTGCGAGCTGGCCCCTTGGTGGCAGACCCCATAGTAGCTCTCCAGGCCTATGTCCCCTGAAAGTTGGGTCAGTGCCATTAGTTCCACATAGGGTGTACCTGAAGGCCACTCAGAACCTGCAGCTGGTGCAGAATGTATTACACACTGCTTCTCCCAGGGAGCAAGTGGGCCATGTGATCTCCAGTGGCTCCCACTAGGTCTCTGGGCCTTGGTCTTGACCTGTAGGATCTGGATACCAGGGAGCTTTTAAAAACGATAAGGGATCCACCCAGGAAATGGAAGGAGGGGCATGTCACCAAGGAAATATACCTGGGACAGCCCATGTATCAGGAAAGCCAAGGCAAGGCAGGAGTTACAACTGGCAAGGAATGTTAGAGACAAGAAAAAGGGGTTCTACAAATATGTCACACAAAAAAGAAAGCACAAGGACGGAGTGGGGGCGCTGCTCGATAGAGAAGGTGAGCAGGTAACGGAAGATGATAGGAAGGCAGAGCTGCTCACAAAAATATCATCTGACCAGATAGCTAGCCAGCTTACCATAGGCAATACAGGGGAAGGGATGCAGACCCGGATAAGTAAAGAACATGCCAGAGATCTTCTGACTAATTTGAATGAATTCAAGTCAGCAGGGCTGGTGCCAGTCACCCCAGGGCGCTGAAGGAATTGGCTGAAGAAATCTCGGCGCCACTGGCAATAATATTTACAAGCTCATGGCTGACAGGAGAGGTCCCAGAAGACTGGAGAAGGGCTAAGGTAGTGCCCGTCTTTAAAAAGGGGAAAACAGAGGAGTCAGGGAACTATAGACCAGTCAGCCTGTCCTTCACACCTGGGAAGCTACTACAGCCATGTATAAAACATTCCATCTGCAAATACCTGGAGGATGAAGAGTGATCACTAGCAGCCAACATGGATTTACCAAGAACAAAGCGTGCCAAACCAGCTGGATTTCCTTCTGTGACAAGGTAACTGATTTAGTGGGCAGTAGACATAATATACCTGGATGTTAACAAGGCGTTTTACACAGTCCTACATGACATTTTGTTAAGAAAGCTGGAGAAATGTGGGCTCAGCAGAGCTACCATTAGGTGGATGCATAATTGGCTAAACAACCACAAACAAAGAGTCACTGTTAATGGAATGATGTCAGATGGGAGGGAGGTCTCCAGTGGGGTTCCACAGAGATCTGTTCTGGGTCCGACGTTATTTAACATCTTCATTCATAACCTGGATGTAGGAATAGAGCGCAAACTGATCAAGTTTGCAGATGACACAAGGCTAGGGGGTTGCAGACACTTCAGAGGCTAGAGCTAAAATCCAGAGGGATCTTGCTAAATTGGAGAACTGGGCTATAGACAACAATGTGAAATTCAACCCAGACAAATGTAAGGTGCTACACTTAGAGAAGAAAAAACAAATGCACAAATATAGAACAGGGGGAAACTGGTTTGGCAGCAGCACTGCTGAGAAGGATCTGGGAGTTGGGGTGGATCCCAACCTCAACATGAGTCAGCAATGCGATGCTGTTGCAAAAAAAAACAACAAATGCAATGTCAGGTTGTATTAACAGAGGCCTCGCCTGCAAGTCACAGGATGTGACAGCGCTGGTTAGGCCTCAGCTGAAGTTCTGGTCACCAATGTATAGAAAGGATGTAGAGGAACTGGAAAGGCTCCAGAGGCGAGTGACACAGATGATCCCAGGGATGGAATGCAGCCGTACGAGCAAAGGCTGAAGAAACAGGTATGGTAGTTTGGAAAAGAGAAGATTAAGCGGAGACATGATAGTGGACTTCAGATACTTGAAAGACTCCAGCACAGCAGATTAGATGAAATCTCAGGACAAACTTCCCCACTGTGAGAACAGTCGGTCAGTGGAACAGACGCTTCGGGAGGTCGTGGAAGCTCCTTCACTGGAGGGTTTCAAAAGGAGGCTGGAGCGTCTGCCTGGGATGGGTCAGACACCACATCTTGGCAGAGGTTAGACTAGATGACCCCTGCAGTCCCTTCTAACTCTACGGTTCTATGAGCTTCTCTCCGCTCCCCCATGATACTACAGTAGCCACCGTCTGCAAGGTGCCCCCTACTTTAACCTGTCTCTGCATCGGAGCTGGCCTGACCGTCAGGTACTGACAAACCCTTTGTGCCTGTGTAACCCCGACAGACCCCGGTCGTCGGCGGGTGGGATTGAACCTGGGACCTCAGTGCATGAGCCTCTATTGCACGAGCTAAAAGCCAACTGGCTGTTAAGCTGACTCATTTTCGCTCTCTCTTTAAGTCGTCTTGGTGCCACTAGCGGGACCCAGGAGGTGTGTGGGTTACACCTGCAGAGGTCGGGCTGCCCTGGGGTATCTCGGGCTCTTCCCGAATGCTGAGTTCAGCAAAACTCAAACGTCAGAAACCCGGGAAACAGAGGCACGTGGCCTGCCTGCTCTACCCCACAAGCCGTTCCCAACAGTGCGTGTGCCCTTCTGAGCACACCAGGCTGGGGGCTGGCCTCGGGCAAGGTGCCCTCGTGGTGAGCGATCACCTGGGGGGAGCGCTGCCACTGCTCCGGCAGCAGGGTTGGGTGCCAAGCATCTCAGAACCACTCTGGGGAAGCACAGCCATCGGCACCAGAGCTTGGGGTGCTGGAACGGCCCAGAGACGCCTCAGTCCCTATGAGAGAGACATGGCTCCATTCCCCGCTGCACGCCCCATGCAGGGCTGGACGGTCTCTGCTCCACTGAAGTGATTTCCCCCGTCCCGGAAGGCCTAATCCAGGAATCGCATAGGCTGCCTGGATATCTCCCCTCTGCCCCCAGGCATGGTTTCCCCACAGCCTGCTCCCTCTGCCCTGTAGGAAGAGCCCCACTGCTGTAGCCACTGGGTGCTCAGAGTTTCAGTCACTGGCACGGCACCGTGGTGACACAGAAGCAGGGCTGGCGTCCCAGTGGGGTGTAGGCAGCGGGAGGTGCTAATGGCAGTTTGGCCCGGGCTGCTGCACCCCACAGTGTCTCTGAGGGAAGGACGGGCCAGCGGGGGTGCAGCTGTGGGCGTTCCCAGCCTGCCTCACCCTGGAAGCATGAGACCCAGGCAGGAGAATCCCGTGAGAAGGAGCTGGGATAGGTCTTGCCTCCTCTGTGCCAGACCCTGGCCCTACCCCGTCTCTTTGCTGCCAGACAGGCCTCGATACCTGGGGCTTCTGAGTCACTGGCCTGGCTGGGCCTGTTTTATTAGCATCAAAGAACCAGTTGAACTCCCAGAGACTCCCAGTGCTTTCGCCAGGCTGCTGGCCCAGTGCCTCGCGGAAGGGCTACTCCTGCCCAGCCCTGCGGATGGCTCCGGGCCATCCCGCCTGGCTGACATGGAGAGCTGTGTCCCGGCCCCTGGGGGATCTCGTGCTCCCCTGAACCCAGCTGTCTCTCTCTTCCCCAGAGCTTGCTGCCGGAGCCTGCCCTCAGCTCCTAATCACTCCCCCCATCATCCTGTGAGGCCTGGTCACGGACCCAACAAGCACCGGGGAGGCGGGTAATTGGGCACAGGTGGGGCTCAGTCTAGCGCCTCTGAAAGGGCCTGGCCCCCCAGGGCAGGGGGCCTCCCAGGCTGGGGAGAGCACGTTGGAGCGTGTCTGGGCGGCACCTGCTCGAGGAATAAACAGGCCCCTGGCTCTAGGCCGGTGAGTACAAAACTCACCCCCGGTCCCTCAGGGCTCCAGGGGGTCTGGCTATAGGGCCCTGCCCCCCGCGCTGTCCCCAGAGCCCACGCAGTGACTGGCTCTGCTCCTCTGCAGGGGTGACGGCCAATTCCATCAACCCCGGCATCGTGAGGACAGAAATCATGCGCCACTTCAACTGGCTGGTTCGTCTGCTCTTCAGCATCACCAGCATCTTCTTCATGGTGCGTGCAATGGTGGGGCAGTGGGGGGCCCAAGGCCTGGAAGGGTGTGGGGCCCGGAGGGCTGCTCTGGCAGACCGCTCGCCCCACGGGATGGGGGCAGGGTAGGGCCAGCGAGTGACTAGCGCAGAGCCTCAGGGGCAGGGCACAAGTTTCCAGTTGGCTCTGTTGTGGGCTGACATACAGCGGGATCCCCAAAGCCTCGGCCCGCACCCTGCCCCCGGAAGGTCTGGCCCTGGGGTCGAGCTCAGTGGGGCTGCCTGAGGGTCCAGGCAGCTGCGGTCAGGGTGGGGAGCTCCTGGCGCACAGAGCCGGAGTGCCAGGGTGCTGCAGCGAGGGAGGTGGGGGCATTTCTGGGGTCCCTCCGGAGCGTCCCCGAGCAAACGCCGGGGGAGGAGCAGCAGCCGTAGAGGGAGGCTTTACCCTAATTCCCACCTCCAGGGCACGTCACCCTCTGCACTGAGCGGGACTTAGCCAAGTCCCCTTGGGGGGATTTGAACCCTGCACCATTAAGCAGCCCTCCTCCCCTCCATGCACAGGGGCTGTGACTTGAGCTTGAAGAGAGCAGAGAACCTGCCCCTGCTGCCCTGGCCAGAGCTGCGGTGGAGGCGAGGCCAGGACCTACGTTCCCTGTAAACTGCCCGGCCCCGCAGCCGCACAGCAGGCTATCCAGGGCCGCGCAGGCGAGCAGAGGCGCCTCTCCCCAGCCCCGGAGCTGCTGCAGCGAGAGGGCTGGGGGCAGGGCCGGCTCCAGGCACCAGCCGACCAAGCACGTGCTTGGGGCGGCACCTTAGAAGGGGCGGCCAATGTTGGGGTGGCAGGGGGCACTCACAGTGTTCTTGTTTTTTTGTTTGGTGGGGCGGCGCTTGAGGGTTTTTTTTTGTTTTGGCCGGGCAGCGTGGGGGGTGTTTTGGCGGGGCAGCGCTGGGGCGGGGGCTTCGGTGGTGCTGGGAGGGGGCGGCCTGGCACGGTGCACCGGGCGTTTGGGCAGCCCGGCGCTCCGGGGGGGCGGCCCAGCACTCCGGGGGTTTGGGCGGCCCAGCACGGTGCACAGGGTTT